CTTGTATGTCATTTTTCCAAGAGCATCTATTGTATTTGATGTAATTATTGCATATTTTGGCCTACTGAAGCTTTAAAGTCACAACTTCAAGTCTTAATCAAAACTGCTATTTTAAATGATAGACTACATATAATTAAACTATGCCCAATTAGTCAAATTGTAGCCTAAAATTAATGAACACTAAACCCTAGAATGTCAAAAGGCACTTTGAGAAATCCCTCATTAAATCATCTGCTTGACTTTGCACTGACTGGAGAAACACAGCTGGCATATTTCAGGTTCAAATGAGACTTCTGATTACTTCAAAAATAAACCCGGCGACGCTCATTTCATCTGCAAGGTAAATCAACATCTGCACCATTTTTAGCCTGTTGATAAGCTCCCGATGGAACTACACAATGAGGAGACGCAAACTGTAATGACTCGTGACATTAAGCAAAAGTTCTGGTCATGCAGTGATGAAGACACAGCATCATTCAAAAAAGTCCATCTCGCTGATACATTGCAGTGACGGGGGGTGTTCTGCATCATATAGGCTATGTGTATTGTTAGAATGTTCAGCAGTTAACATGGAGACACAATGCACAACACAGCAACAAAGCAAGCACTGCCAGAAAAGTTTTCAGACTGTCTGAAAACTCAAGAAGAATACAAAATGGAATTAAAGGTGCACTTTCTGGTGGAGGGTCTGCCATCTGCTTATCTTAGAATGTCCCAGAGTACAGCATTTAACTCATCTATAGCCATGGAGACAAGGCCACAATGTCTCCAGGTCAAGTTATAGGTCAGATCTGTGGAGAGGTGAGCTTACGTAGGAATGCATGTTTTTGCAGTATTTTTGAGCATTAAAACACCAGTAATTGAATAAATGCAAAATAGATGAGTTTAATGCCATACTGTGAAACCTGTGAGGCAAAACAATGATATTTACATTATTTGAGAGCGACTTGTTAAACAGCACACCTATTGTAGTTCATTACCAAATGCTGATTGTGTTGTGTTGTGAACTCAATTGATGTCATTATGTGAGAAGTTACAGATCTGTGTGAGCAGTAGAATGCAGCAGTACAGTATTGAGCAGCCATACAGTTCATTATTTGAGAGCAAAACAGCACACCTATTGTAGTTCCATTCTTTCTGGTCAGATTGTGTTCAAATCAAACTCAGATTAAAGTCTAATAGAGTCTCAGACAGAGCAGTGCCTACAGTTAGCATCACATCCCAGGGAATGTTGACAACATCAGCTGAAAAATATAAATTGGAGTTGAGCAGAGATGAGTTAGGCCCAGTGCCAAACAAACCATCCTTAGAGACGTGGTCCTTAACCTGGGGCTAAACAGTCCTAAATATTAATGCTCTGCCCATTCTGGCTTCTACGGCAAGTCCAAAGTGCCAAAAAATTTAACTTTAATGAACTAATTTTCTCCAATCCAATTAGTATATATATATATATATATATATATATATATATATATATATATATATATATATATATATATATATATATATATATATATATACATACATACTACTAATTGGATTGGAGAAAATTAGTTCATATATACATACATACATACACACACACACACACACATTAAAATTGATTTCAAAACTCACCCACAGGCTTCTTTTTACCACAAACCTTAACGAGAGCTATGTAGTCACATTTTATACAGTTGTCTCATCATATTTTCATTTTTTGTGTACTCTTAAAGGCAGCACTGCTCCACCCTGAACCACTGGTTGGAGTTCTTTGAATAATACTTTGAAATCCTTTGAAAACAAATGTGTAATTTCATATAACTACAATTTATTTTATACATATTTAGCAACACTATGTAACCTCAATTGGAAAAATAACTTTATATGTTTATATATACATAGATTTTAAGTGGACTCTTGTGTCCAGTATCTTTTAAAAGCAAGAAGAAATAAGGTGCCTCAAATGTGCTAGAGTTAAACTACATTACAATATGCATTCAATATGGAAACTTCAGAATGAATCTATATATTATATATTCAGAACAGCTTTTGATAACCCAGTTTTGCTAATACACTATTAAAGATGGCCATCTTAAAGGTGCACTATGCAACTTTTCTAGTGGAGGGTCCGAGGGTCAAATGCTTTTCTCTTTGGAGATGTTACTGCTTTGTCTGGAATGTTTCACAGTATGGCATTAAAAATGTCTATCTTCATTGAGACCAAACAAGACCAAGTTACAGATCAGATCTGTGGAGAGGCGACCCCACTCACAGTCACAATGTCTGTTTTTCTAAGTATTGTGAGCTACAAAACCACCTGAATAAATGTAAAGTAGAGCTGTTTAATATCACACTGTGGAACTTTCTAAGCAGAGCACTGACATCTCCATAGTAACAAGAAGCTGACAGACCCCCAACCGAAAAGTTACAAAGTGGACATTAAAGAAATACAGTAACGTGGTGTATACTTTGCATTGTTACCAATACTGTATATAGATTTGAAGGAGAACCACATGTTGAAAAGTTACACAGTGCTGCTTTAATATGGCATAGCCTACATGACAACCAGGTAACCCAAGTGCTATTTCATCTGGGCCAGACACTTCATAAGAACCTATAGCTTCAATGCCCCATTCCTTAAAATATGTACATAATGGTAAAAACATTGAAACAAAAGACACAATAATAAAAAAGACAATAAAACAAACTTTGTCCTTCTACATTTGCACCGTTAGCTCAACACAAGATTTAAAATTTTGGATAACTTTGTAAACATTATGACCTATATACAATTACAAGCAGCAAATAACACTGATTCATCTGTCAGGTGCACGAGTGAGTTGTGGTTGATTTTGGGGCTTTCCTGGTTGCTGTACCTAGCATTACGAATTCAAAGGGCTTTTGCAGATCTCCGTCTAATTACCATTCTTACGGAAACGTGACCGTGCCGCGTCGCTTTGAAAAATCGGAGACGTGTTGCTAACAAGATCTGTCATTGCCACGCGCGCTACTCCCGACAGACGCCTTTGGAAAGGAGAGTGTACTTCAAGGCATTTCCGCAAAGAAAGGAAAAAAGAAAAAAAAAAAAAATCAAGAAAAAAAAAAACTTTGAACCTGGTATACTAATTGTAACAGTGAGAAGTCATACGCTGTGTTATTGAGCCTACAACAATTACCTGAGTACCGTCCCTTTAATACTGCAGTGGGTTGTAATCAACGTACAACAAAAAAGCAAGAGCAGAAAAAAAAAAGCTTGGATTGGTAAGTCTTTGATAGCGTTTTGGTCCAGTTTCTTCATTAAGAGGGCCCTAAGACTCCTCTACAGTGGCCTTAAAGGGACATGTGGCGTTGACAAATCGCAAAGCAGAAAGGATTCAATGTAAAAATCAAACATAAAAGGTCCTGTACCAGGTTATTTGTGTTTATTTGACTAAAAATCTATCTAGCTCAAGGACACATAATAGTATATGTGCTATAAGCAGCTGGTGAGATTAGATCATGTAATTAAAGTATTTTTTTTGTCCAATATTCAGGAAGTGCACTGTTAGCATGCAAGTTTTGTTAACATTACATAAGGAATAACTGTAGACCACTGCAAACCGTTTGAAATGAAATATTTGTGGTCCAAAAGGTTTCAGACTGGACAGTGTATCACAATGATTTAAAAAAAAATTATTTGTAACGTAATTAAAAAGCAATTTACTGTTCGATAATCATGAAGTGCACTCTTAGCATGCTAGTTATTGGAATAAGGAATAACTTCAGATCACTACAGACCGAAGTAGTTCTGGTCCAAGAGGTTTCAAAATGGACAGTGTATCACAATGAGTTTTTAAAAATATTTGTCAGATAATTAAGTAGAGTCATAATATTATAATAATGAGCAATAATCATATCTGTTGTAATTGCTAAATAACTCTAAAAAGGGAACTGCTTCATAACTCTAAAACATTTTCTTAATTAGTGATGCTGACAATAAAAGTTGATTTGTTTTTGCCAAATTAAGGTTTGATGATCTTTTTATAGCAAAGTTTAATATCAAATTTATGAATGGGTTTTTGTTCGGCTAAGGTTAATGTAGGTTGTCCAAACACAAAGACCATTTGGATCTCAATAAACCTTACCACAACTTATTTGGAGCTAAGTTTTTCAGACAGTTATTAAGGATGTGGTTTTTTTTCCTGTTTCCTGTCAGATTGCCCAATCACATAAAAGCGTGTGGCTGAGCCTTTCTATAGGTTTATGCATTTCACTAAAACATAGTTACCATTATTATTTTATTAGATTTTACTTTAAAAAGCTTGCCTAGATTTTAATTTCTTTTTTTCCCCCTTTTTTTTGGTGAAGTGTATAATTTTACTTCCTTACCATAATGTAAGGACATAAGGACAAAAATGTCATGTTTAAATTGCACGATACTTATGAATAGACCAATACAAATAAATTACAACACCTTTACTTTGTTAAATGAAGCTAATGCCTTCCTTGTGCATACATTGTCCCTGCATTTTGAACGGAGTTTTTGGTGTTGATGACATAGCTGGAGGTATTTTGTTTTAGAAATCACTGCTACATCCTGTATTTTTGTAGAACAAACTGCCACTGATGTAAAACTACAATAAATACTGACCACATACACTATCCCAAACCAATGTTTGTTTTTCTTTGCGATTTTTAGTAGCCAATGCCGCTTTTAGGCCACCGTACTCTTTCAGCTTCACTCAAAGTCAAAGAGTCATGCTTTATGTAACCTTGAACAGCAGAAAGGCAATATCTTTTCTTAAAACAAAACAAAACCAAAAAAAAAAACACATTCCCTGTACGTTTGCGGTGAAGAGTTCACTCCACTCAATGAACCGAAGTAATCTCAACTGAAAATGAAGTCTGGAGGTCCATCAGACGCCAATGTTATGGCTCGATTCACGGGAGACAAAAACAACTGGCAGTGTCCATTTCATCCTGAGACACCTTCAACATTGCTCCAGTTTTATTCCCTCCAATTGATTTTCAACTTTTGGTCACATGACTGTCTCCCGCTCTTCTTCTACAAGAATCGTCGGTTTTTCTGGTTCATTTAGTCGAGATTGTGGTTGCTGTTGCTGTTCCTCTTCGGGAATATGCAGCTCGTGTCCTGATGAAGGTAAAGAGTTCTCTGATACCGAACCATTTTTGACGTACCCAGGCAGGTTCCGGTGTCCGTTGACAGGCAGGGGCCCCAGTTTGGTGGTGAGGTGCAACGCTAAAGGACCCCTCCCAGTGACGTTGGTGACGCTGGTGTGGGAGACCATGGGGCCGTAGCTGTACGTGTTGCTGCCACTGCGGGCTTTACGTTTGAAATCCAACGCCAACGTTCTCCGACTCCATGACTTTTTGATCTCAGCCTGGACCTGAAGAAGAGAACACGAGTAAATATTAAAGAATGATGTCTTTTTGGAGATAATGTTGGTTATTGGTTTTGGAGAAAATACAAAAATATGTAAATAAAATAAGAACGGTTGGTGTTTCTGATCTGGTCAAGGATGAAGAGCATGACACCTACAGATGCAGCAGGGTCTGGAGAGTAGAATGAGACAGAAAACTCAATTTGGCCAAAAAATTACTTAGTCATTTACGTTGTGAGACCACGGTATATAAGTTGTATTTAAATTTAAAGCTGTACCTGACCAAGGTTCATTTTAACAGGAAATTTTCATTTATTTTTATCTTTTGGTGTAAAATGATTTTTACGTTCAGTCAGGATTTTGTCAACTAATTGTTTTTTTTTATTTTAGTCTGATTTAATGCAGTTTTGGATATGGAGTTTGTTTATGGCCTAGTTTGGGTTCCTGGGATTAGAAAGTGTAACTTGTCTCTACTCTTTCCTTTCATTCATTTCGACTGCTTGTTGGCAGTTCTGCTTCGCTTTGCTAATTGAAAAAGCAGTTTGAAAATCCATGAATTTGAATACTGGCAATGTGCAGAATGTTTTGAGGGAGCTAACTTCTTTTGCCTTTCATTGTTTGAAAATCAGGTGCTCCAGCTGCAAGGGAAGCTTAAAGCTTTAAGGGAAGGGTGTGAAGGGTTATAGGCAGTTTACACAGTTTATGCCACTGACTGTGTACAGAGCTGTGTGCATTTCATCATTTCAAAAACCACCTACCTCTCCGTTACAAAAACAGTAGATAATAGCCACCATGAATCCCTGTGAAAACAGATCACAAATATTAGTACATCTCCATGCAGCACACTCGAAAACCAATCTCACTATTTCACATGCTAATTTCCATGCTAGGATAATAAATCACAATAATTCCTCCATTAAAATTCCACCACGTTTCTAAAGATCACAAGTAGCCAATAGAAAGACATAGTTCACATGTTGCAAAGGACACATGCATATGGATGATGCATGTATGGCCTAATACACATGCTACATTCAAATGGCATTTAAGGGGAAACTCTACAGGCGTTTTTCTCAAATATTTATTTATTTTTTGGTCAGTTTGGTTTTAATATAAAATTAAAATATTACATGATGAAAACTTGTAATCCATTTTTCATCATGTAATATTTTAATATAAAATTAAAATATTGGAAAGTATGCATTTAATATAACTATCTTTATGGAAACAAGCAGGCTGCATCACCAGGCCACATTACAGGTCAGATCTATGGAGAGGCAGCCCATGATCAGAATACCTGAGTGTCTAGGTATTTTTGAGCTATAAAACCACCAATAAATACAGGATATATTTAGTTAATCCCATGCTGTGGAACATCCCAGACAACGCAATAACATCTCCATGGAGACAAGCTTTGAATAGACCCTCTACCCGAAAAGTTACTCAATGCAGCTTTATTTTTTCCCCCCACAATTTTACCTGGAAGGAGTTAAAGAGCATTTCGTAGTGCATCTGAATCTGCCAGGGGATCCCTGAGATCTCTGTGTAGGGCATGGCATTAAAGACGATGTAATGGACTCCGAACAGAGGCATCAGGACCAAGGTGGATTTTAACAGCTTCCTGCAAAATGACCAATAAAATATAATGACCAAATAGCATTCTTAACTGTTATCCGAGTCTGTAATTGTCAGGCGATGATAGTGTTGGAACCTACTAATAGGCAGTGTGTGATCGTCAGGCTGCAGTATGATAAAAGAGCGGCTACTTAAAGTTTTAAAAGCAACTCTAGCTATGTCTTTATTTTACTGTCAGACATTAAAATGATTTGAGTGAGGCTATAAGCGAGGCAGTTCTCATGAGACAGTTGAAGAAACATTGAAACTAAGACTAAATTTGTTTGTCGGGGTTACAACTAATAATAATAATAATAATAATAATAATAATATAAAACCTGCACAGTAGTTTTTCAGACTATATTGCCAGATGCTTTCTTCCCATTATAATTATAGCAGGCAGGGAGAGCAATAAGGGTGAAGTGCCTAGCCCAGGGACACAACAGTAAGTGAACCTGCCCCAGTAAATATTTCCTTTGCTGTTTTATAGAATGTTATTTAAAATGATGACATCCAAAAAAAAAAAAAAAAAAAAGGACAACCTACAAAAGTCATTATTTCCTAGTAAAATAACAAATGACAAACTAAAATATGTCATTTATGTTCACAACACAACAGTCTGTGATTCAGATATTTATTTTAGGCCAGCAGAGAAGGCCTTGCAAGCCCTGACGCTCCACTACTGCTTTTTAGTTAGTTAGTAGATATTGATAATTCCAGGGGGGAAATTATCCAAATGATTCTAGTGAAGGTGCATGGAGTAGAACACTCCTGTATTACTCTTATTATAAATAAATAAATAAATAAATAAAGCCTCCAAATTGAGATGAACAACTTAATCAAGTCTAGTGAAAGAATACAAGCTTTAAAAACTCACTTCCCGACTTAGCACCTGATGACATCACAAGGTGGAACAGAGACTCATCTGGTAATAAACTCTCAATTTGATACACTGTTGTTTTGGTGCTCTTAAATTCTACCAGTTGCCAGTTGGCTGGAGTTTTTAAAATTGGCCCAGGATAGCAGTGCATCAAACCCCCCTCAGACAAAAGCCAATTGGCAAGAAAGTGTTGTTTTTGAAAGTACACTGTGAGACTCAGTTGCTCCTTGTTCGGAAGTTGCTCATCAGACTGAAACCTCTCTGAACTTTGTAATGTTATGTCAAAATAAAGCACTTGCCATTTTGTGAGATCTCAATTTCAAATTCCAGAGACCTTTAACTGAAACTGTGACAAGATTGTGGAGAATCAGTTTGATACCACGACCTTTCTAAGATAGCCCCAGATTCATGAATTTAAGATGCCGACTTCGCTGTGGTGGGCCCTATCCCCTAATCACATTATATATAAAAAACTGCTTCTATTCACTGCACAGAGATTTTACAAAGTTCTCCAGTTCATAATTAAAGCTCATATATTAAGCAAAATTGGCTCTTATGAACTTTAAGTCATGTTATAATGGTGTTACCTCATCAAACCTCAGCAACAGTCAACAGACCTGGAGTTGTGTTTTGTTTCATTCACACACTGAGCAATTCTTTATTATTAGTCTGTCTACATCTCCAAAACTCAAAATGGGGTTTAAAAACACAGTGGAGCACTTCCTGTGAGAAGTACTCACTCTAACATTATTTAATTAATGTATAGATTTTTGTGTTTACCATGTGTGACATGTCTTGATGAGAAAACATTATATCATAGATCAGAAAATAACCTTGTATGGGTCCTTTAATTTATGATTCATTCATGATTCAATGCCTCATTCTATTTTTGTAAGTGCTGGAAATACACATATGTTTATGTGTCTCCTTGTTCAATGCATTAGTGAAAAATGTATTAAATGACAGTCCCGGACTATAAAATTACTGTCTCTGGGTATGCAATTACTTGAACATCTATATGGTAATTTTATATTTACAAATATATATATTTTAGTCCGGTTTTTAAACCTGGAGAATAGGGCTGTCGTGGTTAGGGAATTTCTCCTGCATTGTGGTATAGCAGCGCAACACAGTGATAAAAACGGACCCATGCAGGACTCTGGGTCGAGTCAAGTTGGTCACGTGCGGTGAATGCAGTGGCCCAACATGCACCGTGGTGGGTCTCTTACAGCGGTGATTCATTTTTGCGGTTTATGTGACAGCCCTACTGGAGAACCTCACTGAGATGCAAAATGTTTTATTTCAAGAGGCAGCTCTCATTCAGTACTCATGAAACATTACAGAATCCTTGGGACGATCCACATTACCTTGGTTACACATTATCATGTAAAAATCTATTAAATCATGGTAAACGTAGAAATCTCAAATGCAACAACAAATTGTCATAACCATATTATACAACTTTATGATACAAATACTCCGTAACTATGCAAGAACCAAAACTTTAATAGTGATAAACAGATGGTTATTAGGTAATTTATTTGAAAATGCTATATTTGCCAAAAACAATGCATATGCATATTAGCATATTTCACTTTTGTTTTTGACATTCTGAGTTACCCCCCTTTGCTCCCTGTGAAGTCACTCCCCCTTCAGAGCGCAATAACAACACAATCAGCATGTATCCCACTAATGAAACTCCTGCACATCGTATCGGGTTTGTCAGTTTTTTTGTTGTGTACTGTTTTTGTATCTTTATTTTATATGTTTATGGAGAATTATCATGTGGAGAATGGATGACGTAGGTTTGTGGCTGAGCATTGAGCAGAATACAGCTAACCATAAGAAGGGTTTTGTGAAAGAATGTATGTGTTATTTTAAATATTATGAATCATTTAAAATCATAATCATTTGTGTGTGTGTTTAAAGTTATCAACAATTGCGTTTTTGGGTTTTTCCGTTCTGACAAAAGCAACATTGGCTTTTTGTTTTGTCTTGTTTTGTTGTGTTCAAGCTGTATCAGGTGATCTTGCTGATGTGTCGGCTGACTCATGTGGTGAGTATAAGTTTTTGGGAGAAAACTGACCTAATTGTTTATCACCTGGAGCCTGTAATCAAGTGTGAAATGGGGGGGGTGGTTTAGCATGTGATCATTGTAATATCATCATCGTGTGATATAACATAATGTACTGTATTGTTATCTGTGAAAATGACTTCAATAAAACCTGCTGTTGGGAAGACAGCTGGCAGAGTAGTATTAATTTTAACCGTCTCGTTTTGGTGTGTCTTTATTTAATGTATTTTGATGTCTTTTGGGTAGAATTCCCTGACAGGTTTGAATAGAACCCAAGAGAGATCACTAAAATACTGAAACATGTACATAAATCTTCTTCAGGCGTTATTCATACCCTGACAAATTTTGACTTAAAGTTACTTTTATTCAACCAGCAAGTTTGGAAATGACACACGGATCTCCCAGAAGATAATAAGACAATATACAAGAGGTATCATTGTGGAAAAAAAAATATTTCTCAGCTTTTATTAACATTTGAACAAAAAGTGGCATGTCCAGAATTATTCATATCCTTTGTAAACTGTCAGTCTATGGAAAAATCCAAAGTTTTATACCATTCCAAACAGCACAAGCTGTTCTAAAACTTCCTAATTTCCCTGATTCATTGGGAAGAGCTGTTTGAAGCAAATGAACAGGTGAAAAACAGTAGATCTTTGCAGTTGGTTTGTGAACAGTCATGGCTAAGACAAAGGAGCTCTCTGAGGATCTACGGCTGCGTATTGTGGTTGCTCACAAGTCAGCAAGGGGCTATAAGGCCATATCTAAATGTTTTCAAGTTCAGTGGCTACAGTGTAAAGTATTATTAAAAAAATACAAGACGTTCCACACTGTGGAAAATCTCAGAGGATGTGGTCGGAAGCCAAAAGTGACACCTGTGCTGGTCAGGAGGATAGTGGGAGAGGTGAAAAAGAATCCACAGATCACCACCAAGGCCATGCAGGTGAATCTGGGCTCTGCTGGTGGAACATGTCAAGACAGACAATCCAACAGACACTATGTACTGCTGGGTTCCACGGACGTAGACCAAGGAGGACGCCACTTCTCCAGATAAGACACACAAAAGCCCGTTTAGCCTTTGCAAGTGCTCATCTGAACAAAGAAGAAGACTTTTGGTCTTTTGTTTTATGGTCAGATGAAACAAAAAAATTATTATTTGGCTACAATGATGTATCCTTTATTTGGCATAAAAAAGAAGAAGCCTTCAACCCTCAGAACACCATCCCCACTGTCAAACATGATGGTGGGAACCTAATGCTCTGGAGATGTTTTTTCAGCCAATGGACCAGGGAGTCTAATCACAGTAAATGGCACCATGAACAAAGAGCAATAGCTCAAGATTCTCAACAACAACATCAAGCAGCCTGCAGAGGAACTTGGACTTGGGCACCAGTGGATATTTCAACATGACACTGACCCAAAGCACAGTGCAAAAGTGGTGAAGAAATGGTTATTGGACAACAGCATTACCGTTTTGCAGTGGTGCAGCCAGAGTCCTGACTTGAATCCAACTGAGAATCTGTGGAGGGAGCTAAAGATCAGGGTGATGGAGAGGAGACCCTCCAATCTGAAAAGCATTGGAGCTCACAGCTAAAGATGACTGGGTCAAAATACCAGTGGAGACATGCAAAAAACTGGTCAGCAATTATAGGAAGCATCGGAATACTGTAATAGCCAAAAAAGGCTTTTCTATTGATTATTGAGAAGGATATGAATAATTCTGGACATGCCACTTTTCATTCAAATGTAAATAAAAACTGAGAAATATTTATTTCCACAATGATGCCTCTTGTACATCGTCTTATCTCCTCCTGGGAGACGCCTGTGTCATTTCCAATCAAGAAAAAATGTTGCTGGTTGAATAAAAGTAACTTTAAGTCAAAATTTGCTAGGGGTATGAATAATTTTGGGCTTGACTGTACTTGACTGTATATATATATATATATATATATATATATATATATATATATATATATATATATGTCATATCGTCAATCTCTAGTGACGCAAAAGGAGAAATTCAATTTGTCAACTGGGCAAAAGTTTATTTGGTCGAATCACTTATGAATGCCTGACCCTGTTTACAAAGAGTTTGTCAAAAGGCTCATCCAAGCTGCTTCTTCAGTTCTGCTCAAAAAGTTGGTAGACACTTCCTTATATCTGTCTGAAGCGAGGAGCTAACTACACTGAAATGACTCTGAAACTAACACATCTACATGTTTACAGTTTCTGTTTGTTAGCTTGGCCTCTTGAACTGCACTGAGAGTGGGGTCATTAGGTTAGGTTAGAGTTAGGTTTGATGATGGAGTTGTAAATAGGAGACAGATGATTCCTGAGTCTGTTAGAGAATTTTTATGTTATAAGCATTTTTCATGTAAAGGCAATCATGATGTAGTATAAGTTATCAACACTGGCTTTTTGTTTTACTTGTTTTGTTGTGTTCAAGCTGTATCAGGTGATCTTGCTGACGCATCGGCTGACTCATTAAAGATAATATACCGGGAGAAACAAATAGTAATGGTAAACATCATGAGGTTAACACAGAACTCTGGGGAATTGCTAGAGGCTATCTACCACCTGGAATGTGAAACCTGTGTATAATGGGGGCTGTGTCAGTGGAAGCTTGTCAGTCATGAGACAACATGTGAACAATAGGTACTGTATTCAAAGTAACCTACTGTATGCTAATTGTGTGCTCTACAATAAAAGAACATTGGAGAGAACAGAGCTTCAGTTAGGATGAGAGAGGCAGCTCTCTCCTACTCCTTGCGACAGGCAGCTCTCTCTTACTCCTTGTGCAAGTAAAACCAACCACTGTGTCCCTGGCGTGTTCTTTAATATTTGAGGTCGGGGTAAATTCCCTGACAGAGTCCTGAGTTCTGAGTCCTCTATTTTTGTCTAGAGAAGGATTCTCTTTCTAAAAAAAAATAGCTTCTTTAATTCTCCTCTCATACCAATTCTTTTCTCTGGTTAAGATCTGTACTTCACTGTCCTCAAAGGAGTAGCCCGTGGCTTTAGGGGGAGATGCACAGCAGACTGAGGGCCACTGCTGCTCTCTCATCTGTGTTGGGACATCCTCTTGTGAAGTGGTTGTTTCATTTATTAAACAATTAGACAAAGGAGCCAATTCTGGGCTCGTAAGACCCTGGGGCCTGGGAAAACACACCTCTTCATTTCCCTCTGTCAACTACCCTGATTGTTTATTTCAAAACTATATTTTTATCTAAAAAAGAAAGAAAGAAAAAAGCAATACCAAACTTCAAATTGCAGCCTTATTATTAAACCATTTCCAATCAAGACTTACTCCAGCCCTTGCTCACCTGTACTGCTGTCTTGTATCGCACCTCCCAGCATTGGTCTCACGTAGCTTGGTCGCTAACACCCGGATAATGTTGAGGAAGAGCACAAAATTAACCTGTGGGAGGGAGACATCGGACATGAAACGGTGGAGGTGGGCTAGCTAGAAATGAGCGGGTTCAGGAGCCCATGGAAGCTAATGCCACAGGGGCATGTGGATTGGCTCATTTAGCACTCAGCGGGCACTCACCACCACGGCCGTCAGAATGGGCACTTGGTATATCCATTTCAAATTGCCTGCGCTTAAATCCCAGCACCTGCAAACAGCCAAAATAGAAAGAAAATGAAAGGGTTTTCAGAGTTAACCAGCGTGAATAAGTGGAGAGGCCCACTGGACGTCAGGTTATTACAGATCATGTTTAAAGGTGCAATATTACACAAAACTATCTTGTGAGATTTAAGCCATGTTAGAATGTTGTTACCTCATCAAAAACTTACCTAGAGTTGTGTTTTGTTTCATTCAAATGTTTGAGTATTTTTTTTATTTTTTATTATTAGTCTGTCCTTTCATATTAGCTCCAAACGCTCTGCTCCTTTGTGATGTCATGAAGTGATAGTTTTCAAGTTAACATTTACCTTTTACCCATTGTTAAGCAGAGATTGGCAATTCCAGGACTGAAATGATTCAGTTAAAAATACAGTGGAACACTTCCTGTATTACCACGACATCACAATGTGGAAGAGATTGTTTGTGTGTTAAACATGTGTGAATAAAACAAAATGCAACTGCAGGTCTGTTTGTGACGAGGAAACAACAGCAGAACATAGATCTGCTCGTCTCCATGGAGATGTTATTGGGTTGCCTGGAATGTTGCATGGTATGACTTTAAATATTTCCATCTAGCATTTATTCATTGTGTGGGTTTCTGTTGCACAAAAATACAATAATTCATTATTATTGTAATAATAATATAGATATTATTATCTTTATTATTATCAAATAAAAATATAATATCTTTTTATTTGATAGAAATAAAAAGCCTTTCTCAGTCCTTACAGTGTATTGGTTAATATCAGGTATAGACCAATACCAAAAGCCAAAAGTATCGATATCGATATCAGAACTGAAAAAGCGGGATCGCTAGAAATAACTCCATGGAAACGATATGTTTAATTGTAAGGCTACTGCTATGCACTCAGAGGAGCTCTGAAAACCTTTTAAGAGCTTATATTATATTATACTTAGTCAGCCTGATTTATTGTTATCTAAGTATTTGTAGATTATGATTTAAGTCTTTGTTGGTGCTTTAGTATGTCTAAGTGTTTCTATTCTTTATCATCTATAAATGTGATTTTCTAAAGTCTACATTTTATTCAAGACATATACTCTTCTTATATCCTATATGTATGTCCACACACTCATCCTTACACCTGTGATCCTGGAATAGAGCACATAAAAAGAGAAAATTGGCTTTAAAGCACATGTACGGCACCGGATCGCTTTGTAATGATAACCTTTACAAAATGATACGCTTCAGTCTGAGCCTGTTTACCCTCTGGCCCTCGCTCTCCAACTGATCTGAGGCTTCAAGAAATAGAAACCTTTCACTGCTAATTTGATTTGTCATAATGGACATTTTAACCAACTCTGCAATTACCACATGCTAATCAGTGTTTTTAGACTGCCAAGGAAATCGCATGGACAAAGCTAACGCCACTTTTAGCTGCGATCTGACAAATTAAACTGGCACATGTTGTTAGCAGCTGTGGGGCTTTTAGCCAGTGTAGGTGCAATTAGATTGGAGATAACATTTGACGACAGAGGGAAGGGCTGAATACAACTTTATATGGGCTTCTATTGGCTTTATAAAGGGCTCACATTACGCTGTTTGGTGCAGCATCAGCAGTGATGCAGTCGGTCAATCATCATTCCTCCCCTCACCAATGGTCATGAGCTCTGGGTAATGACCGAAAGGACGAGATCCTTTGGCCAAGCGGCCAAAATGAGTTTCCTCCGCAGAGTGGCTGGGCACTGCCTTAGAGATAGCGTGAGGAGCTCAGTCACACGGGAGGAGCTCGGAGTAGAGCCGCTGCTCCTCCACGTCGAGAGGAGTCAGTTGAGGTGGCGCGGGCATCTGTTCAGATGCCTCCCTCGGGAGGTGTTCTGAGCATGTCCCACCGGGAGGAGGCCCCAGGGAAGACCCAGGACACGCTGGAGGGACTATGTCTCTGAGCTGGCCTGGGAGCGCCTTGGAGGAGCGCCACAGAAGGAGCGCCACAGAAGGAGCTGGAGGAAGTGTCTGGGGTGAAGGAAGTTTGGAAGTCCCTGCTTAGACTCATGCCCCCACAACCTGGGCCCGGATAATTGGAAGAAAATGGATGGATGGAGATTACATTGTTCTGATCTGTGTTCTATTGATGTTTCCTCATCACAAACACACCTGGAGTTGTGTTTTGTTTCATTCACACATGTTTAACACACAAACTCTGCACATTTAGGCTGAGTTCTTCACTCAAACAGAAAACACCCTGTGATGTCATGTGGTAATACAGGAAATGTTCCACTGTGTTTTTAAACTCAACAAAACACAGTGGAATTGCCAATCTTTGCTGAACTAAAGGTAGAAAGTAGCTGTTAAAATGAAAACTACCACTTGACATCACAAGGTGGAACAGAGCATTTTGAGCTATGGAGGATGAATGAATATGTGAATGAACCAAAACAGTGCAGGTCGGATTCTGAGGAGGTAACAGTATTATAACACATCTTAAAGCTCACAAGAGTCAATTTTGCATTATACAGGGCCTGTAAAGATGCACTATGTAACTTTCTCAATGAGGGCCTGCCACCTGTTTGCTCCATGGAGAAGATTTTGCATTGCCTTGAATGTTCTCCTGTGATCTTTTGGTCCTTAGCAACAATAGACTGTATAAATGGCCATAGCTAACCCGCTAGCCACCGGATTCAAAATAGGAAATGTTCATGGGTTCGCTTCCGGCTCCATCAGCTCCAGTTGACTTTACACTGGAAACTTGTCACACTCTCTCTGTAACTGCTGCAGTGAGCCTCGCCATTTTGGTCTTAAAATATTCATATTAACCTGCTCTACACAATCCTGGTGTTTTTATTTCACTATTTTGTCCACAAATAAACTCCTATTCTCGAACTGGTTTCAAATTTGCTCCTATAACTGCTAAACTGGAGCTGAACGCTATGGGTGACCTCACACTCTTTTAGTCCACTTCATTATACAGTCTATGTTGTACACCTCTACATCTACTTAAGTATTTAATAAACATGCTGAGATATTGGTCATGGGTTGGAGAAAACAAAATTAAAAGCTAACAAGGATGTAGTCTGGAAGCTACAGCGTTTGAAAGGTTAAGGACAGGTCCTATCAGGGACAGCAACTGCTTTTTCTCAAAAGTGCTTTTTAAGGACAATCTTGGTGTACCTTTTATCTTATTTTTTTATTTGTGAGAATTTTGAAAGCATTTGATTTGCCAGTTTCAAGCAGAGATGGCTTTTTGGTTTTGTCTTTTTTTTTTGATGGCTGCAAAATGCCAAGAGAAATTTTTGTACGAGTTCAACTAATTTCTGTAATATTCTGGTGATAATAGTTTTGTGTGCACTCATCTCTTACTTCTTTGTTGGAAAAAGTGTGCAAGGTACAGTAAGTGGCATTTCGCTTGATTCCATGGAATTTTACACTTTGGAACATTCTCCATGGCATATGTTTTATGCCATACTGTGGAATATTATAGCCAAAAGAACATTTCCATGGAAATAAGGCCACAAGGCAAAATTATAGTCAGGTTTGCGGTGATGCAAATTCACTCACAGTTTTTTAGGGCAATAAACACAACATAAATTAAAAGTTCCCCTAGATACATTTGTCCTCTGCATTTGACCCGTCCTTCAATGCTACAGGGGCATTTCCTCAGGAGCAGGGGGCGCTGCAGCACTCTCCACGATGTTGTTGCTAGTCTTGGTCAGGACTACCTGACTACATAGTGCATCTTTAACACTGTTTGTAATTGTAAATAAAACTCAGATCTCATAAAGACTTACTCTGTATCTGCATATGTGGCTCTCACCGTCGCCCAGACTGTCACAAACATGGCTGGTACTCCTGTAATCAAAAACACACAATACAAAAATAACCAACAAAAAAAGTGTGCCTTTTTTGCTTTGATATAAAAAAAAAATCCCTAAAACAATCATTTTGAGTGCTGTGCCCTGAGTAGACAGTTAAGAGTTAGCGTATTTTCCTCTGCGGGGGCCAAGACGCTTCCAAACGTAAAATTATAATTGCGATGATGCTACACTTTTTTGATTGAAGAAGGAGGAGGGCACCGCATCCACATTGTATGCGCTGTGCTTGTGTGTTCATACGCACAGTGTGTACAATGCAGGAGGGGAGCAGCCCATATTTCATCCACTCGACAGGACTTTGAACAGCCTAAGTACCTCTCACTCACAAACTCTTCACTGCTTTTGATAAATGATGTGCTTTGTCCAACTCGGCTCTCAAGATTAACGCATATTTGCGTAGAACACAATTCATTTCACGTTACGTTTAACAAGGTGTAGTCACACTCATTATAGTGATGCTGATGACATTAGATTCTGCTGACAACTCAGTGGAGATGCAAATAGGTGTTTTAAATTCTCACTGGTCTAGAGAACGCTGTTGATACTTTGCAGCTGAAACGATTAACATTCCCTGGGGGTGTGATCCTAACCGAAGGCTCTGCTCTGTCTGAACTTCTGTTAGTCAAGTTAGACTTTAATCTGATGTTTGTTTTAACACAAACTGACCATAAAGAATGGACTTAGCTGGAACTACAACAAGTCTCTCACCTTTTTTGTTGAAGAAAGTGTGATGGCATTGTATCAATACAATGATAATAAAACCTGGGATGCCATGTACTCATCACATCATGTCATACAGAGCCCTTTTGGGTTTATTTCCAACTGGTTTTAGTCCTAGAATCTGGCAGCCCTCATACAACTTTCTGATTGGATAATTGGCTTCAGTATTAGGTTGCATGCTATTTTGTTATTAATAGTGCCTACTTTTGTGAGTGTAGTCTAGTGCTGGAGCAATTTAATTATTGAAAATTATTAAAAACTACAAAAATGTTGATGTTGTACTGCAGTTGTAGTAGTATAGAATAGTAGTATAGTGGTGTTGTCTAAAACAATTTGCAGTGGCTCAAAGTTAAGCTGGCATCCTCATTATTCACCATAATGATTTTATGTACTTTTCTCAAAGTAAAGAGAGATAATGCCAATAACTAGACCCAAGAAAAAAATGAACATAATAGCAGGAATAAAGGACAGTACAGCCCCTTTAAGATTCTCTAAAGTACTTTTTACTATTACTTACATTATCAATAATGGAATTATTAAATATGTAATATGCTCACTGTTACAACATTCACAGGAAGTAACTTATACAATTATTTCTACAGCATTGCAAAATAAAGAGGCTCACCAGACTGGTTCAATAGAATAGTGGAGTTCTCGCCACTATTCTATTGAACCGCATTATGGTCAACATTCACTGCTTGCAGTGAAATAGTCAAAGTTAGTGATGCCCATATATGGACATGCCAAATTGTACATTCCTTTTCCAAATATGGTAATGACTTCTGGTCTCCTCTCTCTGGTCTCCTCTAAAGCCATCATTAAACTCCACTGGTCCATAGCAAATGGACAATGTCATAACTTTTTACTGAAATTCGACGTACAAATGTGAGCCTCCTATAAACCTCGGATGCCAGTTTGTGTTTCCAATTTCTGTAAATCTGGAGAAATCTTAAAGAGAAATATCACGCTTTGCCCAAATCATCAGTGACACATTTTAGGGACCATAACCGTTTTATTTTCTCAAAATGTTAAAAATTTCATTGGGCATTCGGAGTTAGAAGACCATAAGATTTTAGTGCTTTACCTGGTTCAAATTTTAAATAGATTTTTATACTTCACCAAGAAAAACAAACAAAACAATGCTATCTGCAAATAAAATAAAAGACATAAGATACATAATAGCAGTGTTGGGAAGGTTACTTTTAAAATGTAATCCCCTACAGATTACAGATTACACACCCCAAAATGTAGTTTGTAACGTAATCCATTAAATTACTTAAAGTGAGTAACGTAATCTGATTACTTTGGATTACTTGATATTGTCATGTTTTTTTAAACGACATGAATGTAGCAACCACATCCTGAAAATTCTTGTTTGTTGTCTTCAAATTGTCTGAGCCCAAGTCTCCATGAATAAGAAACTGTTTGCTGTAGAGAAACAAAGACCACGATATCTTAACATAAGAGGTTTTGTCTGTTAAAAGACAGAAACAAGATCAGTCTTTCCTTCACCATATTAAAAAATATTATTGATAGAGAAATTATTTTTTATATGAGATCACCTTAAATTATGTCAACCTACTGTTAGGTGTCATGTTGTTTAGACCTGGTTTAGTCGTGGTTTAGTCCTGATTTTTAGACCTGGTTTACTCCTGATTTTAGACCTGGTTTAGACCAGGTCTAGACCAGGTCTAGATCAGGTCTTTAGTTCTGGTTTAGTCGTGGTTTAGTCCTAGTTTAAACCTGGTTCAGTCCTGCTTTAGTCCTAGTTTAGTCCTGGTTTAGTCCTGGGTTAGTCCTGGTTTAGTCCTGGTGTTAGTTCTGGTTTAGAGGTGCACAGGAGGAAGCTCGGTTTATGCGAGAAAACACGGTCCACACGCGGCACATGAGACGGCGGTGTCCGCGCTGTAACTACGGAAGGAGACGTGGTCTGCGGGTTCTCAGGTTGATGACGATGATGAAGGTGTGTGTTTGTGTATATGACAGTAGTGCAGATATTATGAGTCTATGCAGGTTGTTTTCACCAGTGCCAGTAGCTCCTGTTTCACATTTAAATTGTAGGCGATTTTATATTTGTTTTTGTTTTTTTATATATATCTCACATCGGGAGAAGAATTTCCAAGACACAAATGCGTTTTTACCAATGCACTGTGTGACGGAGCAGGCTCGTCCCTAAGAACGCCGTCCTGGGGGAGAGCACGTGAAGATGCGCGCACCCGTTTCCGTAGTTATTGCGCACCGCTCGCCGTACCAGTTCCTACCAAAATCACTGTTTTACAATAAAATTCTCCCAACATCTCCTGCGTGTCTTTCCGCGACTAAGGGTGCACACTTGGAAGCGCTTATTCAATTAATCTAAAGCACGCCAATCCAGACATTCACTTACCCTCGCGCCGCCGCCTTCGCCCTCCTTCCGTGGTGTGTACTGGCAAACCCGGACACATCCGCGCTGGGAGTTTAAATCCGGTCGTTGCGTGGGTTCCGGGAATCAGGTGGCAACAACTAATTTGCATGGGCAATTAAATGTATTGTCTGTCTCTCAGACGTTGTATTTAAGACCTGTTCATTCTGGGCGCAAGCTATTACGGGTATATAACCATCGTGCTATAAAACATAGGCCGTTTGATGGTAGAAACGGCGAAATCATGATTATTGGGGGGAATTATGTAATGTGGGAGGGGCAAACCGGGGATATAAAGGTGCGCTCTCCAGCTCTGTGACCAGTTGCGACCAGGTTGCAGTGGAGGTAACTTGGGTGGAGTGAGCCAGAGCGAACGAGCGACCGAGAGCGTGAGAGAGAGAAACTTTGCCGGACTTAAAGGGGAAGTCCACCAAAAAACTTTTGTCATTTTTGTTTTTCACACCACCACTGTAAATATTTATCCACTCACGTTTGGCACCTTTTGCACTGTTGGAGAGCACAATAAATCACCGAAAAGCATTTCCTGCCTAAGCCTGAGTTTTTTTTGGAAGAACCCCACCACATCTGGTGTCAGAAGTGGGATGGCTAGTCGCCGGAAACGTAAAGGGCTCCGTTCGCAGTGCAAGTATGAGGAGGAGACGGTCGACTCAGATGGAGCGGGGGAGCTGGTGTCCATAATGAAGCACTTCCTGGCTGGACAGCAAAGGAGAGAGGAGGGCTTAATGGCGGAGCTCCGAGAGCTGAGAGCTGCACTTCCTGGCGCACAGGCCTCTCCACTGCACCCTCTGTCCACGGGAGCAGCACCTACACCGACAAACACAGGGAGTAGCCAAGGCTAGGACTACCAACCCCTGGGGGCACTAGGACGGTGTTGCGGCCCAGGGAGCTAGATGCTGATGACGTGCTTCCCTTCCACCATGAGCCGGAAGTTGGACCACGGCCGGAGTGGAGACACTACAGCGACCCCAAGATACCCCAATATCAAGAGGGGGAAGATATTGAGAACTATTTGTTACGCTTTGAACGCATAGCCAAAACATGGAGGTGGCCAGAAAATGAGTGGGCCTGTCGCCTTGTTCCACTGCTGACTGGCAAGGCACTGGACGCTTACACCTCCATGGATGAGGAAAGGGCCCATTGCTATGAGGATCTGAAGGAGGCTCTGCTGATGAAGTTCGATGTCTCACCGGAAACCTATCGGCAACAGTTTCGTGCCACCACAGTGCCCCCTGGTGAGAATCCGACGGAGACCTACCATCGCCTCAAGGGCCTCTATCGCCGCTGGGTTCGTCCGGAGGAACACACAAAAGAGGAAATCGGAGAGACCATCGTACTCGAGCAGCTTCTGCGCGTCCTGCCGATGGATGTGCGGACGTGGGTCAAGGAGCATGAGCCGGTGGACGGTCTGTCTGCTGCCAGGCTGGCCCTGCAATATGTCAACGCTCGCAGAGGAGCACCACCCCTTCGCCAAGCTGCAACTACACCTCGTCTGCCCGTCCAGCCGTCTCTCCCACGGCCGGCACGGAGAGAGATCCCGGAGCAACCAGGTACTTCTGCCCCAAACCAACGAGGATCGGGTAAGGAACTTGTTTGTTTCTATTGCCAGCAACCGGGGCACAAAGCGTCCGTATGCCCGCTGCGGAGAGCTAAAGTTACCGGGGCATGTTACCCATCCCGCTTAGAGACAGGGCTTGCGGGGGATCTTGGAGGTGTTGGACAGCATTGCAAGACTGTACTGATCAATGGCCAGACTGTGACTGCTCTTTTGGACACAGGGAGCTTCACTTCTCTGGTCAAACGTGAGCTAGTGCCACTAGGCAGTCTGGATTACAGCA